GCCGAGAGTTGAGGCGAAGTTTGGGCGGCCGCGGCCGGCCCGGGCCGAACTCCTCTCTGGTCTCGCCTCGCCCAGCCGCGCCGGGGGCGCCCCCTCGCCGCCCGCGCGCCCACCCCAGCCATGTCGTCCATCCTGCCCTTCACCCCCCCGATCGTGAAGCGCCTGCTGGGCTGGAAGAAGGGCGAGCAGAACGGGCAGGAGGAGAAGTGGTGCGAGAAGGCGGTCAAGAGCTTGGTCAAGAAGCTCAAGAAGACGGGGCAGCTGGACGAGCTGGAGAAGGCCATCACCACGCAGAACGTCAACACCAAGTGCATCACCATCCCCAGGTGGGGGCCGCCGGGGTCGGGGGGCGCCGGCCCAGCCCCCTAGCGCGGCGGCGGGGCGGCGGTGGCGCGGGGGGGGGGGCGGGCCGGCGATGGCGCGGGAGGGAGTGTGCGTTTGCGTCTCTCTGCCCGTCTCTGTCTCTCTCTCTCTCTTACGGGGGCAGCGAGAGCGTGGGCGGGAAGGGGGCGGAGGGGACCCCAAACAAAACCTTCTCTGGATTTGCAAAGACTTGAAGCCTGCGGCTCCCACGCGGCACTCTCGCTTCCAGACCTCGCGTTCGCTTTTCACCTTCGGGAAAGGAGGGTGCTGCTGAAATGGGCCCCCTCCACCCTAGGGAGCCGCGGGCTGGAAGTCGCAGCCGGCTTTGTTCGGCTCCGCGGGGCGGGGCCCATCTTTTTTTGCCTCCGCCCGCGGCCCGCTGGTGGAGGTGGCGGTGTCTCTGCCTTTCTTTGCCTCCGTGCGGTCCCCCACTTGTTCCCTCCTCTTCAGGAATGCAGTCCGTGCAGCTGGGGCCGTGGGTGCGGAGCCGGAGCCTCGTGATTGACAGATTCCTTCTCCGTGCTTTCTCTGCCTTCAGGATTAGCATTTTTAGCGAGTATTTTTAGATTCGGCTGTGCCAGTCTCCCGCTCCCTGTGCAGGCACGCACTGTGGTTGCGGTGCAGTGCTCCGACTTCCACGCGGGAGAGACAAGTGGCAAAAAACGAGGTCTTCTTTCCCGCCTTGACCCCCCACTCCCCACTGTCTGTGCCTTATTTTAGTCTAAGAAATTTCGGGTGGAGGCAGACCAGACGGGGCTAGAACCGGACAGATAACACAACATACCCCAGAGCGGGCCTCTCAGGGTCCCTTGCATTCCGGTAGGCATTCCTTCCCCAAGCGCTTTGCCATCTGTCTGGACCGCCTTTATACTTAGCATCGCTAGCTCCTCGTGGGGAGCTCGCAGATGGCTGATGGAAGGGGTCAGTGACTTCTCTCCACTCCCCAGGGCCTGCCTTAGCTTTGTTGTGCCTGGCTGGGAACTGGCCTGCGGGGGCACCCGGGCCTCCGTGTCTACCTCCCAGCTCTCTTTGAAGTTTGATTCTGAAGCCAGTGTCCATGCGCACATGTGTGTGAGTGTGTGTGTGTGTGTGTGTGTGTGTGTGTGTGTGTGTGTGTGTGTGTGTGACTGTATGTTTCTATGTGTGTGTGTGAAGTTGTTCTAGGGGGCTGGTCTTGCAGGCTGCAGAGGAATGAGTAGAAGGCCCTCAGGGCCTGAGCCTGAAGAGATCATCCACCTTTACCCCTGGGCCGGGGTGCACTCCATCCTTGGCACCTGCTCGGGCAGCTGTGCAAGGCCACCAGCCATGTCAAGCAGGCACAAAGCCACATCTGTCCACAGAAACCCAGTGCTGGCCTTCCTCCCCTGGAAATAAATGCCACATATGGTGGGAGGGCTGGCTTAAAAACTCATTTTTTTTAGCACTGGGTGGAGCCAGTCAGTAAAGGGGAGGGAAGGTGGTGTACTGTCTGGGAGTGTGCTTTGAGCCTGTGATCCGGGTCCAGGATTGACTTCAGAGGAGGTGGTGTGATGTGACGGGCAGAGACCTGGGGCTTGTTTCCCGGCTCTGGTTCTTCATTCCTCTCTGAGCCTGTGGCGGGGATGTGGAAGGGAGGGTGGTTACTGTTACAACTTCTTCATCTGCAGAGAGGTCTGCTAAACCTGTTTTCTCCTTATCTGCGGGGTATGTTGAGGACAAGTGCTTTCTGCATTGAAACAGGGAAAAAAATGACATGCGTTATAGAACAAACAGCTGTGGACAGGGCTTCATCGTTTACCGAGCACTTTCACATGGTTTTATGAGGTTCTCAAAGAAAGGAAGACGGAAAGCAAGCAACCCACCAGCCCCTGGAAAATAGATAAGGCGTTAAGCTGAAGATGATCTCATGTGTGAGGTTGAGGTTGAGAACGCTCCTCCGGAGCGAGGTGAAAGGCTGCACTGCAGACAGGGATGCCGCCCGAAGGTGCTCTTCCTGCCCTCGGGCCGCGTTGTGCTCCAGAGAACTTTGCTGAACGCTAGTGCCCTGTTAGCTGGGGTGGACGGTATAGATCTTGGTTGGTAAGGTTGCCCCTGTTTAATCTCTGGGCTAGTGACCGCTTGGAGGAGAGGCCTTGCCTTCCCTGGCCTGGCCGGAGTTTGCCCAGTGTGGGGGCCTTGGCCTGCCCTTTCCCGTCTATACTCCCTGCCCTGCCGTGAGGCATGCGAATGCTTCGGATGTTTCTGAGAGTGCAAGCTAACCTGCCCTCTGGCCTTCTTAGGACTCTTTCAGGACTGAAGCACCTTCTGCCGGCCTGGAGAGAACATTTTTTTCCCCCCTCGTCTTTTCTCAGTGGGGAAAGCCGCTGCTTGGGTGGATCCAGACAAAATGGATTTCCATCCCCGGGTTCTGTGCCCACGCCACTGGGTCACCTTGTCTCCCTTGGCAACAGCTGCTGCTGTTTTGGTCGTGGGCAGAAAAGTAAAGGGCAGGTCTCGAGGAGGTAGGTGGCCTCCTGCTAGTGACATGGATGTGTCACTCAGCTCCACGGAGTGCAGCGCTGCTCCTGAGTGTCTGCCTCTTTGCACAGACTCTTAGAGCGAGGGCTCTGGGAAGTAGGAAAAGGAAAATGTTTGGTTTGGTCATCTGCCACGTGTGGGTGGGCCATGAGTGTTCAAAGCCACCTCGTGAGGTCTGACCTCCGGGGCTTCGGGAGCGGATCGTGGCCAGGGCGTTTGGAGGACGTGCAGTGTGAGCAGACTGTCCCGTCTGGCAGCTGGAGCTGTACACCAGGGGCTTGCAGGCGGCGGCCTTACTGCCGTCCCACCAGCTCTAACCGCTTCAGAGCCGGGGTGCTGCAGGCTCACGCCCCCAAGGACATTAAACAGAGCCATGCCCAGGGAGTGGGCGGAGCACATTAGACCCACCGATGGGGTCTGTCAGGGCGCTCGAAGGTCTGGCAGGCTGGCAGGGACTTGGACACATCTCATACCCGCATCTCACTCTTCACCTGCTAGAGCCCGAGTCCCACTGCGGGGGTCCCCTTCCCCGGAAGGTAAGACTGGAGAAAACCTGGCCTGGGAAGAGTCGGCATGGAGACGTAGGCCCGAGCACACCACATGTGCGTTCCTGATAGGCGCTTGTGACTTTTCTTTTCACCAGCGGGGTCTGTGCCTGGCCCCGTGGTTGGGAGCGGGACAGACCACACTTTGTTGGAAGGGGGTTTGGGCCTTCTTGTGTCAGAGCACCAAGGCCAGAGGAAAATGGGAGAGCTGAACCAAAGCTCAGGTCTGAGGTGCAGCTCCTCTGGGGTAGCCGCCTCCTCTCATCTTCCTGGACTGTGGAACTTTGCCAGGCTACTCTTACCTTGGGAAGAAAGGGAAACATTTATTATTATTATTATTATTTTTAAGTTTTTGCTGTAGGACATGTGCGCTCACGAAAGAGAGAGAGAGAATGTGAAATCACCCCCCCACACCCCCCACACCCCCCCGTGGGGGCGGCCATGCCACAATTCTTTCTCTTCCAGTCTCCTCTTGGGATTTTGGGCACTCACGCACATGCAC